TACAAAAAAGAAAAAAAGGAAAGAACGCAAGAGTGTGTGTGTGTGAGCAAGAGAGGGGAAAAAAAAAAAAAAAATCCCCAAGGAAAGTAAGTTTCTGTTTGTACCCAAGAATTTAGATTCCTGGTCCCACAGGAATGTCTACCCACAAATTCTCAACAGAAGCGTATACAGAGTGTATCATTAGATCGCGGGCAGGGGTGGAAAGCGCGCAGGGGCAGGGAGAGTAAGGCTGGGCTGCCCCAGCGTCAAGGGAATGAATGAATGAGGCTTACCCTCAACAGAGCCCAGGCTCCAGTGGGTGCGAGGGCGGCCAGGGGGTGGGGAGGACTGGGAGCCAACCAGCTCCCGCGCTGTGCCCCAGAGGCGGCCAAGGGCTTGGCCTTGTGGTTCTGTGGTCGAGGGACCAGGCCTGCACAGTGTCAACCCAACCTCAGCTCACAGGATACAAGAAGCCAGCTCGCGGCCTTGGCCCATTGGCTGGGCCACGATCACCTGGGCTGTGATGTCATGGCCTCTTAGAAGATCTTGTGGTTGCCTCTCTCTCTCTCTCTCTCTCTTTTTGGAAAAAAAGTAAATAAAAAGAAAGAGAGAAAGAAAAAAAAAAAAGTGATGGTTTGTATTTGTGGGACTGGCCTCAGCACGCGGCCAGCAAAGCAGAACTGAAAGCAGTTAGTGTGGAGGCCGCGATGGTGGTGGTTGGATCCGGTGTGGGAGACTCCTTAACGGAGGCCAGCATTGGCCTGGGCAGCTAGGAGCCCTGTGTCACTTTACTGGCCACTCTGAGGTGGTACCCACCTACGGGCAGGGAGGTCTGCTCCATGACCTTGTCACCCCTGGGCTATAGCGGATACCCTGTCATTGTCCACCACCTCTGTGCTGGGGAGAGGCATCCACATGTGCGGCTGGGTGGCACTTCAGGGGGATTTTACAGGAGTTGGGATTAAATACAAATGGGAAACATATGAAGCCATCACCAGTGCCCACACCCACCACTGCCTGCCTACCAAGAGGGGCCTTCCTCATGGAAGTTGCTGGCACCACCATTCTGCAGATTGTGGATTCTGAGACCTGAGCTTGTCATTCAAGGCCTTTGGCTCATCTTACCTACCTGTGTATCCCTTTGGGGTTCTTTACAAAAAAAAAAAAAAAAAAAAAAACGAACCAGTTGCCATGAAGTTGAATCCAACTCATGGCGAGTGCTTGTGTGGCAGTAGTACTGTGTTCTGTAGGGTTTTCAGTGGCTGTAATCTTTTGGAAATAGATCACCAGGACTTTCTTCCAAGGTGCCTCTGGCTGGATTTGAACTACCAATCTTTGAGTTAGTAGCCAAGCACTTAACTGCCTGTACCACACTGGGACTCCTTCATAGTTCTCCGCTCCAGCCTAACATGTCTGAGTCTTTTCTTCTGCTCATGCTGTTCCCCTGTCCCACAGCCTGAAGTGCCTTTGTCAGCCCCTCTTGAAATCCTTCATGTCTCAGGGAAATCAAGACATAGAAGGGCTCAAAAGTAGAAAAGACATAGCAGTCAATTCAATCCTGCATGCTATGTTCCCAGAAGACAGGTCAGGTGTGGAGGGGGGTGGCTGCTTTTATCATTTGCCTTGTAAGCTCTAGTAGCCCCATTTCACAGGCCAGGCCACTGGGGCCCAGGGTGTTGAAACCAGCTTGTCTAAGGCCCACAGTATTCTTGAGTGGGTAAAATTCAGTCTCTGACTCACCACCTGGGGCCTTACAATGACACCATAATGTGCCTCAGTGCCCTTTAAACCAAATACCAAGACCTCAGAAAAGTCCCTCTGCAAACTGGGCACTGCCCCATGGCTGCCCCCAGGGAGCCCAAGCTTGGGAACAGGCTCCAGTACCAGCCTTGGACTCTGGTGAGGACTATAGGACAACACAGAGCAGGAGAATCCTCTGGGAGGAAGAGGGACTTGTTCTAGGTCACACAGGGACTTGTTTCAGCCCTGTGTCACTTGTGAGCAGGATGCCTTCAAGAGTGTGGCTGTCTGTGTCTCACTGGAACCTCATGATGGTTCAGTCTTTGTCCCCAAATAGTGAATTTATTGTGGGTTTGGGGTGGGGAGAAGAACGGTGTGTGCTTGAATTCTATCTGAGAGAGGAAGTAGGCTTATAGTGAAAGCCACTCAGGCTCTAGAATAAACTGGATGTGGGATTCAGTCCTAGCTCTGCTGAATCTGAGTTGCAAAACTGTAGGGCAAGTCATTTCCTCTCTGGGCCTCAGTTTTCTTCTCTGTAAAATGGGGATAACACCTTCCTCAGAGGGATAGGCACTGGGTGAGAGCTTTGTAAACATTGGTTTCCTTGGCTGAGTCTCGGTGACGTAATTTGGGCTCCATTATGAGTAATTTCACATAAGTACCCATCACAGTCAGGCAGGAGGACAGACTTGCCCCTCATTATAAACTCACTAGCTGGTCCACCTAGGGAGGGTCGGAAGGGAAGGAGGTCAGCAGTATAGGAGAAGCCTGCCAAAGAAGCTTGGCCTCCTAGTTAAGTTTGGAGGAGCTGGAATCTGCCATATTGTGAAATTGATCAGAGAATGGCACAAATGGAAGACTGCCATTTTATAGAAGTGGAAATTGAGGCCCCAGTGGGCCTCCCGGTGAGTCAGTGGAACCCAGGCCCCCGATTCCCAGCCTAGGAGTTGTTTCTGCTCTGCTGACGCCGCCTCCAGTTTCGAATACCCCACCCTTCATGGGTCTGCTGGTTTTTCCACACTTAAGAGCAAGGCCCCTATAATCAGATTGGGTCACACTGAGGGACTCTCCCTTCTCCCAGCCTTTCCCCGGGGAGCTTGGTGTCTCAGTTGTCTAGTGCTGCTATAACAGAAATACCATAAGTGGATAGTGTTAACAAACAGAAATTTATTCTCTCACAGTTTAGGAGGCCACAAGTCCAAATTCAGGGCGCTGTCTCTAAGGAAGGCTTTCTCTCTCTATCAGCTCCAGGGAAAGGCTCTTGTTTTCTTTCAACATCTGTGGGCCTGGAATCCCTTGGAGTCTCCATATGTCTTGACATCAATCTTTTCCTGGGTCTAGGAGGTTCTCAGCACAGGTGCCCCAGATCCAAAGGACAGGCTCCATTCCCAGTTCTTTTTTTCTTGGTTGTAGTCAGGTCCCTCCTTCTAATCAATACAATTGATTGGCTGATTGTATCAGATCACATCATGGGAGATGATTACATTATGACACAACTGTTAAATTGCATCATTCCATTACTACCACTCCACTGAGAATCATGATCCCACTGAGAATCATGACCCAACCAAGTTGATATATATTTTTGGAGGACACCATTCAATCCATTATACTTGGGAACATGAGGGAGCCTAGGAGGCCATTTTGGGCCCAGAGGGGTATCTGTGCAACAGGCAGTTCAACTGAGTCTCAAAGCAATGCAGCAAATGTTTATTGGGTACCAGGCTCAGTCTTTGCCTTCAAAGATTTATAACCTCATAAACCTGTGTTTAGAACCCCCAGGGCTACCAGGGGCAGCAAGAGTTTGGAGGCTAGGACCAGCCACACCTGAAGCTTTAGTCCTTATGAGCTGTAAGATCATGGGTAGAAGCTTTGCTCTTCTGAGTCTCATTTTCCTCGCCTGGGAAGTGGGACCATCTACAGCACCCACCTCCTGAAATTATAAAGGGGATTAAATGAGAAAACAATTGTGAGTCAGGTTTCTTCTCATTTCCATTGGGGAAAAAACCCAATAGCATAGAAACCTCTGAATCAACTAGATTAGGTTAATTAAAAAATATGATTGAAGAAAGGAATCAGAAAAAATAGTACCTCCATTCCTTCAACCTTTTACTTTAACTTTAAACTTATAAATGTGCCTTACAGGGCCTTTTCCTTATTCTTCTGGCTTCAACCAGCCCAGGAGGCATCATTTACAATTTCCAGTGGAACATGAATGTTGAGATGCTTACAAAGCAGAGTGCAGCAGCTCCTAGATTTTACTGCTTCCCCCAACCTTTCCCAATGCCCCACCCACATCTAATTCGATTTATTTTTTAGCAACTTGTCTTTACCGAATCTTTCCAAAATATTCAAATTAGTTTTCATAAAAACAAAGACCCCATTTTGCATCATGTTGTTGGTAAGATCGCATTGCCTTCTATCAGGGTCCAACTAGGAAAACAGAAGGCATTCTGAGTATTGGAAAATGAGGGAAGTTAGTTCAGGGAGTTGGTAACATAGACAATGGAAGAGCTGAGAAGCCAAACAAAGAGAGTGACGGGCCCCAGGAAGAGCTACCTCAGGAAGCCTTTGGACAGGAGGGCATGGGAACAGGTGGTGGTAGCAGAGCCTGGGGCTGGGGCCACCCAGCAGAAACAGGAGCAGGGTGGGCCAGTGTAGCATTTGCTGGAGCTACAGAGGAGGCCCAGGCACTACAGAGATGCCACCTGAGACAGAATGAAGGGGCGAAATACCCTGGCTTTTCCCTTTCGAACCACTGCTGTCGAGTCAGATCTGACTCATAGTGACATCCTTCAATCTCCTCCTGTTGCCGCCCATTGGTCAAAAGCAGCTGGATCCAGCTATCTCGAGGGCCTGGAATATGTGGACTTTGGAAGCTTTCTCTAGGGCCCTCTTATTGCTGGGCCTTTAAATGCCATCCCCATGTAGCTGCATCGTCACATCTACACTGAGGGGTTAGTGGCACTGAGGACAATCTACATCACAGAGACAACAAAAGCAGCAAAAAAAAAACCTCACTGCCACTGAGTTGGATCTGACTCATAGCGACCCCTCCTTGGGTTTCTGAGGCAGTATCACTATGGAAGTAGATCTTCCAAGGAGAGCCAACAGGAGAAGGATAAATGGATCTGAGGACAAATTGGCCCAGGGATGGAGTAACATCTAATGGAGTTCTGTAACCATGAAAACCCAGTTGGCATAAACAGGTTTGGGAATGAACTCAACCTATGTTTTGTAATTTGACAGCTCAATGAGCTGGTGGGAGCAGAAAGTATAGCCTCCCAGAGAAGGTTCTGCTAGTCAAGGGCATCAATTGGCCCATTATATCAGGGAACGTTGTTGAACTCCGTGAACTAGTTACATGGGGGTCAGTAAGAAAGCACTTACTGTCCGTGGTGATGGAATCAGATTTCATAATCTGTGTGCAAAGGGGATATTTCACCATAACTTTGGGTTCCTGTGCTTAGGGCATTACA